CCCCCCCCCCCCCCCCCATGGCTCCCTGCAAAGATGGAGTTTCAAAACCCGGCCACCAGCTGCTGCTTTCCCACCAAAAGCGCCACATTCTTGCTCCCCAGTAACTGCTTGAATTCCTGCACGTTGAAGAGAGCTGCAGAGACTCCAACAAAACACCAGCTCTAGCCCAAGTAACAGTTTAGAAAAGATGTTTGGAGCTGTTTTATTAAAAGAAGTGGGTCAGTCATTAATAAACAGCGATCTGCCTTTGTGCTGGAGCTGACCCCCCTTCCCAACACGGACAGAGTTGATGGTTGACTCCTCAAATCTGAGGCAGTTTCAGCTCATTGCTTTTTACACTGCTTATCTTTTCCTGATGATGATCAAATCTGCAGTAGTTAGGGCAAAATGCTCCCAAGCCGGCTGAACAGAAAGAAGATTTTTGTAAAAAAAATCTAAGTTCATCAACGTTAAAGTAGGTTTGCATGTAAACTGTTTGGAGCAGAGATTCGCCTAGCCAACAAAAAATAATCCAGATATATTGTTCTTACGTCCCAGAGGTGACTGGTTCCTGCTGGAGAGCCGAAAAGTGAGACACGTCGCCGTGGGCGTGTTTTGCTGTGCTGTTTCAGCCTACTTAGCAGGTGAGTAGCTTCTCCCTTCCTTTTCTGGCTTCCCTTGCTGGTCCTTTCCTGAAGAAATGTTCAAAAAGTGGTTTGAAAGTTATGTTTGGGTTTAGGAAATGAAATTTCCCCTCTGAGTAACTTCTGGAGGACTGAATGGTATTGAGAACCAGCCTTTAAAAACAAATTGGAAACAGCGGAGAGACCTGGAGAGAAGTTACAGAAGCACCCAATCTATTTTTTAAAATCGATAACGCATTTTCAACCCAACCAGTTCTTTCTGGCAAACTGACCTCAGTAGGCGATCACCTTCTTGACTTTTTTGATCCCTCTGTGGAGTCTGCTGGATAGATAAATAGGTCCTGGCAGATCCTTGTTTTGAATAATGCAAAAAAGTGAACTTTCTGACCACGAACACCAGTAGCTATAATCTGCAGGACATGCTTTCTAGCCACCCTAAGTCTACCTCTTTGGGTCTTACTAAATTTGGACAGATTCTTGAGTAAGCATGCTAAGAAAGTCTGTAAATGTAGTGACTTTTCTCATACCGTTTCTTCACATTTCTCCATTTTATTTATTTTTGGTTTTGCTGTTGGCTTAGCCTGTTTTCCTCTGACAGCATCTCTCTTTCTCTCCTCTCCCTCTTATACCAAAGAGACTCAAGGTGGGGCGATCTTGAGTTTCTTTCTCACGCGTTCTTCTTTTCCCGGAATAAGTTCATGTTTTCTAAGAGTTGCTGCATATTTTCCTCAAGGCTGTCTCCACACTCCTTTACATCAACCCCTTGATCCTTTCGGTCATCCTCTTTGCCCTTTTTCCAGATCTATGATATGCTTTTGAAATGTGGGAACCAGAATTCTACACAGTACTCCAGATCTGGATTTACCATACAGTAGATAGAAATAAAAAGAATTGCAGTGGGAGCAGGTTTGTTTTCAATCCTGTTCCTCCATCCCTTAAAAGCCAAACATTAAGCCCAAACCACACAAACACAGGATGGTAGTTTGTATTGTATGAACCCAGGAATTCCAGATCACGGATTCCCACTTTGAGACACTGGTTTTTTTAGACACTGTCAGGCCTCCCTATGAAATATCTTTTAAGCCTGTTCACCATTTTTCTATGTTTGTTGCTGACTGGAAACCCCTTATAGATTTTTTGCATGAAACAGAAAACAATGAACTTATGATTTATGGTTTTGATGATTAGACAGGGTAGGTTATAGAAAGAAGAGAGTTATGTTGTAACCATAGAGTAAGAGGTAAATTTATAATTGTACTTATAACTGCTGTAAAGAAGACTGGAAGCTACTTCTTTGTGCCTTTCTTCTTTTCTATTTTTTTTTCTTTTTTTCCTTTCTTGCACTTTTAGATTTGATTTCTTTTTCTTTTCTTTTTCTTACTTTATATTAGTTTGTATTAGATTTTTACCTTCTTTTTAAAAAAATCTTTACATACACACACACACTGTACAGTGGTACCTTGGGTTATGAACGCCTCTGTTAACGAACTTTTCGGGTTACGACCAGC